CTGGAGCAGTGAACCGCAGCCAGTGGGAGCCGCGATCGACCGGACCTGCTGGAAGCGGCACTTCCAGCAGCTCCCATTGGCCTGGAGCAGTGAACCGCAGCCAGTGGGAGCCGCGATCGACCGGACCTGCTGGAAGCGGCACTTCCAGCAGCTCCCATTGGCCTGGAGCAGTGAACCGCAGCCAGTGGGAGCCGCGATCGACCGGACCTGCTGGAAGCATCACTTCCAGCAGCTCCCATTGGCCTGGAGCAGTGAACCGCAGCCAGTGGGAGCCGCGATCGACCGGACCTGCTGGAAGCATCACTTCCAGCAGCTCCCATTGGCCTGGAGCAGCGAACCACAGCCAGCGGGAGCCACGATCGACCGGACCTGCGGACGGGGCAGGTAAACAAACCGGCCTGGCCCACCAGGGGCTTTCCCTACACAAGCGGCGTCCCAAGTTTGGGAAGCACTGATCTAGTAGCATGCACAGAGGGCACCATTTTAAAGAATGTGCCAGTGCCACCGATATGACCTTGCATGCACTGTGAATCTCAGATCGTACCGGTGGGAGCAGAGTGATGCGCTCTTCAATATGGCATAGTCTGTGAGGCATGAGCTTGCACACACATCACGCTGGCAAGGGCAGGCCCATGGTGTTTCTGGAGGTACCAGAATGTCCAGAATTCTGGGTCTCCTTCAGTGCCCACTCTATGCACCCACCTAAGCAGATACTTCCTGGCCTTTGGATTTACAGGGAACCCCTGCTTTTCTTAAGGAGGGGAATCTGCTACCACTCTTGGAGTTACAGAAGGGGGCCTCATCTCACTGCTTTTGCCTCAGTGGGAAGAGAGTACCCTTGCCACCACAACTCCAAGTGGAAGGTGGGACCACAGTAAGGGAGAACCATGTTATGGTGTCTAGGGCCCTGGATGGCCTTAATCTGGCCCTATCCACCCTCTTTGTTTCCTTCACATGTCCCCTTACAGGTGGAGCTGGCAGCAATGCCTAAATTTAAGACTGCATAATATTTCCCATTATAATACTCTGTTTTCAGTTGATTAAACTTTGCCACAGTTTAACCATCTGGGTTGAGATTTTCCATGCCAGATGTCTGCCTCAGGCTGAATTTTGTTGGGAGTTTTAGCAAAAACAGTATAGCCATTTCCAAGGATGAGGTTGTTTTGACAATGTTTAAAAAGAAAAACAAAAAAAACCCTTACAGCCATATATTTAAAAAGTTCTAGTGCCTTCATGATTTGGAGTAGGGACTTGAAATGGGTGAAGAGAGAGCCCTGGGTTCAGGGAGATTTCTTTTACTGTCCCTGTGAAAATCCACCCAAATTTGGCCAGTTATAAATGTTTGAAAACGGCCAATAGTACATGGCTCAGTAGCGTTTAAGAGATGAAAATCTCCTTATATTCTAGCCCCACAGTGTTCTCTAGGCAGATCTCTCAACAATCCTGCATTGAATAAGTACATCCTGTGTTGGGCTGGCTCAGCTTCTTTGCCCTGCCTCACTGCATTCCCAACTGGTCTTCTACAGAACAGAGTTTGCCTGCACTTTTGGAACCCTGCTCCTCAGCCCCTCTCTCAGGAGCAAAGACAGGCCTGGGCCAAAAGGAGGGGAGCTGCCCGAGAACCAGAAAGGGTTTTATTTATTTTGTTTTTAGTTTTGGGGTGGGGGAGGCAGGCAAGAGAGGAAGTTCTGAGCTGACATGTTAGTTCCAAAACAGGAAGGGGAAGAGTGAGTGGAGCTGGATTTGTTGGGCTCTTTCTGCTTACCTTTACCTCCTTGTGGAAAAAATGGTTCCACTCCATACCCATTCTTACCTTAAATCTCTTGTTGGCTCCTACACAGTTTCTCTCACAGGTCTCTCTCCGCTCCTTGGACAAGAGCGAGGTAGAGGAGCAAGAGGCCCAGAGCAGTAGAGCTGCTGGGAGTCCCTGGGCCCTAGGAGGACAATAGAGAAGCAGTAGCAAGGTAGAGAAGGTGCAGCTGGCAGTAATTGGACAGAAGAAGATGTGTTCACTGTGTGCATGGTCAGGGAGGGTGCCCTTGAGAGGGGACGGGTATGTACCTGTTTATGGATATATATGTGGAGCTGCATTCATTAAATTCGGGGAGATCATAGATGGGGGTCACCACCACACCCGTCCCCATTACCAAAATGTGCAACCCCTATGTTATTTCTGTGTTGTGCCATAAATGGCAGATAATACTGTTTTTAAGGATGCTTCCGCAATGTGTGAACTAAATAAACTAATTTTGCAATCTGTATCGTTTTAATCATGTGGTTTATTTAATTTACACAGTGAGGAAATATCCTTAAACACATTTAATATTTTAAAAACATAGATTATGTTTTTGTGGTGTAACATGCAATTACATAGGAATGATACCTTTTGGTCATTTGTTACACTATTCTATGGATTCATGTCAGCTGTACTGAATTTGCTCTGTCCAGGGCTCTCAGCTGTTGCAAGGCATTGTGGGGAAGAATTTAAATACAGAAGTCATCTGTTAAGAGGAAAGTTGCCTGAAGTAATGTAGTCCAATGTAACATTGATAAATATACTCATATTAGTCTTTTGTTCCTACAAATTTGCTGTGAACCCGCCAGTTAGGTCCAATTATGCCATTGCATTCAAACCTTTGACCTGAAAAACATATAGTATATATTAATTGCCAAATGCCACATTCATTTTTAAAAGCATCCTTATTTTCAGAATGTTCAAAAGAATTTTTTAACAGCTCAGTTGAGAGCCTTAAAACTTACACACTCAGTATTTTGATGCTAAACACAATATCAAAATGGTGAACCAGTATCAAAAGGTTACACTTTCTCTTCAAGTAACACTAGTCTCTTATTTGTAATATAGTGTTTAATTCTTTACCTCCTGCTCAACCCTATTAAATATAAGCAAAAAGAATGAGGAGTACTTAAAGACTAACAAATTTATTTGAGCATAAGCTTTTGTGAGCTAAAACCCACTTCATCGGATGCATGCAGTGGAAAATACAGTAGGAAGATCTATATATACACAGAGGACATGAAAAAGTGGGTGTTGCCATACTAACTATAGCGAGAGTAATCAGTTAAGGTGGGTTATTATCATCAGGAGAAAAAAAATTTTGTAGTGATAATCAGGATGGCCCATTTCCAACAGTTGACAAGAAGGTGTGAGTAACAGTAGGGGGGAAAATTAGCATGTGGAAATAGGTTTTACTTTGTGTAATGACCCATCCACTCAGTCTTTATTCAAGCCTAATTTAATGGTGTCCAGTTTGCAAATTAATTCCAATTCTGCAGTTTCTCGGTGGAGTCTGTTTCTGAAGTTTTTTTGTTGGAGTATAGCGTCTTTGAGGTCTGTAATCGAGTGACCAGGGAGGTTGAAGTATTCCCCGACTGGTTTTTGAATGTTATAATTCTTGACGTCTGATTTGTGTCCATTTATTCTTTTGCGTAGAGACTGTCCAGTTTGGCCAATGTATATGGCAGAAGGACAACTATGATGAGTTTTCCTGGGGTGCAACCTGGAACTGGGGTACCACTGAGCCCTCTGGCTTACCAACCTGGGCTCCATCTCACTCTGTGATGATGTGACAAGCTGAAAACCTCTCCAGGTACTGCATTTACACAAACATCCATAGACAGCAACACACCCAGCCACAGGCGCCGACTCTGTGGGTGCTCCGGGACTGGAATACCCACGGGAAAAAAATAGTGGGTGCTCAGCATCCACCAGTGGCCCCACTGATCAGCTTCTCCCCCTCCCTCCCAGTGCCTCCTGCCTGCCTCAGTCAGCTGTTCAGCAGCATGCAGGAGGCGCTGGAGGGAGGAGGCAGAGCGAGGAGGCAGGGTGGGTGCATGGCCTGAGGGAGAGCGGGGGTCGAGCACCCCCAGGAAATGACAAAGTGGGCACCTGTGCACCCAGTAACGTTACATGAATGCTTCTCCCAGCTACTCATGAACCAACAACAGAGAGGCTCCAACCAATTCCCCACAGCTCCCCAGCCTAGGACTCCAGAGCTGTACCGCCTAGCCCGGGTCAGAAGCCTGACCAGTGTAAGTTTATTATCCAGTCCGCCCCTCCCTCAGTGTGGAGAGGACATGCACCAGCTTTTGTACACTGAGCAGAGATTTCCCCAGCACTTCAAGCAAAGTACACTGGTTTAGGTAAAATATAAAACAGATTTATGTCATGAATACTCAATGAGCCTCATGAGGGGCACGCAAAGTTGACCAGAGAGAGCTGGGGGGAGCCCTCTCTCCCTGCCGTAGTCCCGGAGCACCCTCCTGCATCCCAAACCCGTCGTTCCTGCACGCCCAGCCGGAGCCCTAACCCCCTGAACCCCAGCCCTGAGCCCCCTCATCCCCAGCCCCATCCTGGAGCCTGCACCCCCAGCTAGAGCCCTCATACCCCAGCACCTCAACCCTCTGCCGCAACCCTGAGTCCCTTCCTATACTCTGAACCTCTTGGCCCCACCCCCACCACATGAATATTGTTATGTGCACCAATATGAAAGGAATGTGTCACATATCACGTTTCCCTGGGAGACTCCTGATTTTGTGTACCCTCTCCCTGTCTCCTAAGCAACTGCCTGAAAATCCCATTTTTATTAGAGCAAATAGTCATGGAGTCAGTTCATAAAATGAGAAAACTACAGAGCAAAGGATGGTGATAGAGCAGCCAAAGGGAGGGCTTCACAATAGGGGAAGGATGGTCCAGTGGGTAGGGCCCTGTCCAGGTGGTGTGAGACCAAGGTTCAATTTCTTGCTCTGGTATGGACATTCTGTGACACCTGGGGCAAGTCATGTGGCCTCTCTGTGCCTCTGTAAAATGGGGATGATAATGCTTCCCTACCTCATGGGTGTTGGGAGGCTAAATACATTGTGAAGCCTTCTGAGATCTACTGATGAAAAGTGCTATATAATAAATAGACATTATTATTTATATTCATTATTAATTAACAGAATGGGGCCATAGACTTGGAATGAACAGGGAGAGCAAACCCTGATGCTTGGTGTGGATTAGGGCAGCTCATCAAGTACATGCTGGCACCTAGGGTACTGAGCCAGTGGACGGATTAATGAGGAAAGGGGGCTGTTATTTGCCCTGGAGGTGGAGGCATGGTGCCACGAGAGAGAGTGGGGAGGAAGGCCATTATCACTGAGGACATAAGGGGAATTTTACTGGGACTAGAATTACTCAAGCTGGGATTTGGCTAGGACACCTGAGTTCACACCCTGATCCTTGAGCAGAGAGGGTCAAAAGTTCCATAGGATCTTTACCCCCCCCCCCCCCGCCACGTGCCACATAATTTTGCATCTCATTATACAGCACAGAGTGTTTATTTTACTATAGGCTTCTGCTCCTTAAAGAGGATTATGGTATGACCTCATGCTCTGCTCTGCCCATTGTGCTCTTCTGGGTGTAGTTGATATACTGAGACCTATCTGTGGGCTTTCCTCCAGACTTACTTTGGAGCTTGCTTTGGTATCAATGATTCTTAACAAGAACCATAAACCAAACAAAAATATCTTGTGATATTTATTGTTGCACAGTCCTTCCAATTCTTCTGTCAACCTAGCTGTGATTACTGTGGGGGGTTAGGTCGACCTAACTACGGTGCACTCTCTGTGACATTTTTTACAGCCCTGAGCAATATAGCTACTGCCTCTCTAGGATGTGGGTTAACTACAGCAACAGAAAATCCACTTCTGTTACTATAGTTTCTAATTTACGGTACTACAGCAGCATAGCTGCAGTTGTATTGCTATAGCACTTGTTGCGTAGACATAACCCGAAGGAAGGACAACTCAATTGGGATCTGAATGTCAAGCTGTAACAAAGATCCTTTTTCCTAGATACACAGGACATAACTGGGATAGAGAGAGAAAAACCTGTTCAAATTATGCATGCTTCCGAAACTTCTTTGGTACTACCACAGAACCATTTCAAGTATATCAGTTGAAAGAACACAGAAAAATGACTCTTAATAAGAACTATAAAACAAAAATACCCTTAGATTTATTGTTGCACAGTCCTTATTGGGAGTTAGATGCCTGGCACTTTTGACAATCATACTAAGTGATTATCTGCATTTTTAGGTGCCTCAATACTTTTTGAAATCTGGTGTTTAACAGATTGCTGTAATAAGATCCTTTTCTGGGTTTTCCTCCCCAGATATATTAACACTAGATTGTATTCAGAAGCTGAGCCAGTAACTTCCTAATCTTTTGGTGCAGGTTTTTATTTATGTATTTGTAATTCTAGTTTAAATCTGTACCAGTTTAGTAAATCTGTGTAGATGTTGTAGTTGAAAATCATTCTAGACTCTGTTAAGCAGCAGTCCCTTTTTGTTTCCTTTTTAGAAGGGTCTGAGTCATTCTAACCTTGCATTTAAAAATAAATAAAGCATGTGCAAAATGGATAGGAGCTTTGAAGCATCGTTTATCAGGACAGGACTGCTTAGGGTGACCAGACAGCAAATGTGAAAAATCGGGACGGGGTGGGGGGGTAATAGGAGCCTATATTAGAAAAATTGGGACTGTCCCTATAAAATCAGGACATCTGGTCACCCTAGGACTGCTGCAGTTTGAGATGAGAGAGACCTGTTAGGTCATCATGCCCACCTCCCTGTAATATTGGGATATAGTCCCCAGAGAGAGGATGTGTAGGTTGGTACACTTAAACTGAGCCAAAGGATCAAAAAGAACCAATGCTTCTATTCATCTTGATTGTATTAATGTATGTGTGGCCCTATCTACCTGGTATGGGAATTTTCTTACACTTCATAGTTGCTAACAGCACAGGTTCAGCTTCCCGGGTGTTAAAAACACTGGGCATCCTAGTGTAGATTGGTCACTGGTTGCCATGGGCATTTGCATATCTAATTGAGGCTACGTTAAAAATACCTGCAGCCCATGTATGCTAGAGCATCCTAATGCTGGTTGAGATAAAGTGGTATTAGCAAGGGGGCTCTCTGTTTGTGTTTGTGTGTGCGAGAAAGTAGGAAGGACCTGGTTTGATGGTGTGTTTTCCAGCCAAGAGGTGATGTCATGAATACTCAATGAGCCTCATGAGGGGCATGCTAAAGTCTCCTTCACTGGATGATGAACACAAATTTAAACAACAAAAAAACAGTGAAGTGCGTAGCCCTCTTTAGTTGTTATTTGCATCACAAGCTGTGTCCTGTCCAGTTTCTTTTATCTTGTATTGTTTTTCCTTCCAGGTGGGGTTGTGGCGCTCTGCTGATTTAATCTTTCAGGTTTCCTTTCTCCATCATCTCCTGCTGCAATGATTTCGATGTCCCTTGCAAAAAGGCCACCTTTGTCTGAGAGCCCTTCCCCCTCCCCCTGTTGAGGAGCTATTTTGGGAAACAGCAGCTGAGCTGGAGGATTGTTAATTGTTTGTCAAACCCTTCCAAACCCGTTAGATCCCATGCAGAGATTAGAGTGCATAGTCACATCCTTTCCTCTGCCTCCTTTTTCATCCCCCTGTGATCTGGGAGGAAATGGGGAATGCCTCTTTTCCAGGCAGGGAGAGAGAGAGACGGAACATCACACATTGACACACAGTCACAAACAACAGACATACTCTATAGTCAACCACAGCTGCGAGGACAACACTGAGACATTCACAACAGAGGTGCACGCTATTTAACCAGTCCAAGTTCAAAGAAAGACCCTGACACACATCCAGAAACACAGCACATGCTAAACCAATCGTGGCACAGGCTATGAAGCACCGAAACACTCTAAAACCAATCACAGCCCAGAGAGAAACACCCACACACATACATATTCCCATTAATCAAAGCAGAGAGAGACTTCTCACACACATACAACCACAACCCCAGAGACAGGCAGACAGACAACAAAGCCACACAGGGCTCTGACCTCAAAAGCCACCATGTGCTTCTGTCTGAAACTTACTGCATTACATCAGCCTGGGAATGAAAGAAAAGCACTGGGACCAAAATATTGGCCTTCTTAAAAGGGCAATCGCATCCATAGTTTTAAGGAGGACTGGACTGTTTCCTTGAGTGCTATTCCCTTCTGCCTTCTTGCCTGGCTTGCAGATGTCATAGAGTTGTGGGAAGGGCATGTTTATAGTAAACCCCTTTTATTTTGTGAAGTCTTAAAGTGCAGGACCCATTTACGATCATGACATATGCTGAGGTAGAATTGGGAGAGCCTTTGTGTAGGCTCGAAACAGGGTTTGGCCAAGCACGGGGCAGCTGAGATTTAATTCTATGGAGATAGGTGACACTGGAAATATAAAGGTATTAGTTAATGCCTGTTAAATTTAAGGCTATATGATAGTTGACACTTACATAGCACTTTCCATGCAAGGATCTCACAGCACTTTATGAGCAGTGATGAATTTTGCCTCTCGCTTCTATGTGACTGGTGATGTTATGGCCATTTTAGAAATGGAAATGCAGGCACAGAAGTTAAGACCAACATTTTCAAAAGTGGCCGCTGACTTAGGATACCTTAATTTTTGAGTGTCCAACTTGACACACAAAATCAGTGCCCACTTTTGAAAATATAGTTGTTAGCCCAAGGTCATGAAACAAATCTGTGGTAAAACCGAGAATCTCTGTATCCCCTGCTCTGAAGCAATAGATGGTGCTTTCTCTCCAAATACCTGTCAGCTTTTCCCAGGAGGGCAGGATCACTGCTTACTAGCTTCCTCCACTTTTCTGTTGCCCTGCACATGGCTTGTTGGGCCATCAGAGGCAAGTTGCTCCTTGTGCTCCTTCCCTTTTTCTCCTTTCCTCTCTTCTCTCCAGTGAGGAAGCCGATAACATCTGGTGTCAAATGAAATGAGTCAGTAAAGTCAGTGGTATAAATAAATCTCTGGTGTAACTTCTCTGAAGCCAGTCAAATTAAACCAGGGATGAAAATGGCCCTATACACTAACTGAAATCATGTGCTTACCTTGTATGTGTCCAGGCAAATCAGCAGCTGCCTTCCATAGGTGTCAATGACTAACAAAGCTGCAAGGCAGAGGAGACTTGGGCCCAGAAACTTAATGTATAGTGGAAACATGAATAGAGAGAGTCCCAAGCTGCAAAGTTCAGGTACACTGATGATCAAGAGGGAGCTTATGCCAAGCCCCTTATTAATAGAGTTGAACTTTGGTCCTGGTAAAGGATCTCATTTTACTATTTGTTTCGTAAAAGGAAGGCTTGAGCTCTTTTTCTTGGGAAGTAAAATGTGTACCCACACAAACTGATTGCTAAGGCTGAAAGGAACGTGCAGCTGGGCTCCACTTCTGTAGCAAGATTTCTCCCCATGTGCACACACCACATACAGTTTTTATAGGAGATGAGTCAGTTCAGTTTGGCAGGTATCCCACACAATCATCTCACTAACCTTCTCCAAAATCTTGCTTTGTACTTAGCCATGTGATAGTTGTAGACATTTAAATTTACATGTGACCAAAAATTGATTGATGGAGTTGCATGAAGGGGAGGGCTCTTTATGCAGGGATTACCACTTTCATTGCTCACTGAGACAGGAAGTATCTGTAGGAGCTGCTTCTTAAAATGTTGGCAGCTTATCACTGTTGGATATGGCTCCAGCTTCAAGGGTTGGGGAAGTTTTATATCGAAGCCTTGGCCCTTCTCTAATCTTGACTCATCTTAGGGTATGTCTGCACTGCAATTAGACACCCATGGCTGGCCCATGTCAGCTGGCTCGGGCTAAGGGGCTGTTTAATTGTTTTGTAGACTTCAGGTTTGCACTGGAGCCTGGGCTGTGAGACCCTGCAGCCCAGCCCCAAATGTCTGCAATTAAAAAGCCTCTTAGCCCGAGCCCCGCAAGCCCAGTCACCTGGCCTGGGCCAGCTATGGCAGGTGTCTAATTGCAGTGTAGACATACCCTTAAGGTCTTTTGAGGAATCACTTGGTGACAAATGAAATGAGTCAGTAAATACAGTAACTCCTCGATTAATGTTGTAGTTATGTTCCTGAAAAATGCGACTTTAAGCAAAATGATGTTAAGCAAATTCAATTTCCTCAGAAGAATTAATGTAAATAGAGGGGGTTAGGTTCCAGGGAATTTTTTTTCACCAGACAAAAAACTATATATTATATAGATATACACACAGTATACATTTTAAACAAACAATTTAATACTGTTCACAGCTATGATGATTGTGAAGCTTGGTTGAGCTGGTGAAGTTAGAGGGTGGAAGAGGGAGGGATATTTCTCAGGGAATGCCTTGCTGCTAAATGATGAACTAGCACTTGGCTGAGCCCTCAAGGGTTAACACATTGTTGTTAACGTAGCCTCTCACACAAGGCAGCACGAACACAAGGGAGGGGAGACAGCATAGCAGACAGAGACAGACACACACCTTGTGTGTGGGAGAGAGAGAAAGATGCACACTGCCCCCTTAAGTAAGCTGACCCATTCTTAAGTGCATTGTCTTTTTAAGTGGATCAGGAAGTTGAGACAGCAGCTGCTGCCCCAAGTTCTCTCTGTCTCTCTTCGTCCGTGTCCCCTCCTTCTCTATATGGAGAAGGGGTAAGCAGGGTGCAGGAGCGAGGGGGGAGGGGACACCCGTGTC